CAACAGCATACTGGGTTATATTAACAGGAGTATACTTATAAATCAAAGGAAATTATTATTCTGCTTTATTTATGGCACTGGTGAGGCCTTACTTGGAGTACTGTGTCCACCTTTGGGGCCCACATTTCAAGAAGGATGAAGACAGAATGGAAGGAATCCAGTGCAGAGTAACAAAAATGATTAAGGGCCTCATAGGCAAGACTTATGAGGAAAGGCTGAAAGAACTAGGGTTATTTAGCTTGGAGAAGAGAAGACTGAGGGAGGAGGATTTGATAATGGTCTTCAAATGACTGAAGGGTGAATACAGAGACGATGGAGATGAGCTTTTCTCTGTGACCACAGAGGATAGGACTAGGAGCAATGGCCTCACACTTCATCAGGGAAAATTTAAGTTGGAGATTAGGAAGAACCTTCTGACAATGAGGGTGGTCAGGCATTGGAACAGGCTACCTAGAGAAAGTGTGGAACTGCCATTCTTGGAAGTTTTCAAAAGTAGGTTAGACAGACACTTGGCTATGATGGTTTAGTCAAGGAATGATCCTGCCTTGAGTAGGAAGCTGGACTAAATGACCTTGTGAGGTCCCTTTCACTTCTACTTTTCTATGATCCTGTAATGATCTCACAATACAGCCTACCTAAATTGCCTCTGCAGTTTTGAATAGATGCAATATTTTTTGTCATTCCCCATTTTTAACTTCTGGGTAACATTGCTCTGCAGTGTTAAAAACAGCAATGGAATCTCACATGTAATTGTATTTCAGTGGTAGGTAAAGGACCTTTGCATGATATTAACTGTTGCTAGATATGTAAAGTACAATTATGTCTCTCTCATCTCAATACCTCAAATCACATTACAACCTTTAATTTAGCTGCTCAGCAATCCGGTGAAGCATGAATTTATCCTCATCTTTAGAGATGAGGAAAACCAATGTACAGGTATCTTAAAAATTGTTACATGAAGTGTATGTAGCCATAAATTTGAAGCCTATATTTTAAATTGTACGGCATTTTTTGATTTCCCTTAGATAGCCAAGAGGTGTTGTGAAACTCAGTTGATTAATGTTTGCAAAGCAAGTTGAGATGCCAGGATAAAAAAGCAATAAAGTATTATAAAACTGGCAAGCAAGATATTCTGTAATAAATTACAAATAAATCATCCACATTCCAATAATTTTTGTTTTGCACACACTTACAGCATTTTGTATGACACTAAAGCACAATTTTGTTGCCTTCTAATTAAAAATCCAATTGGGATAAAAATGCTTTAAAGAGAGCAGAGTTAAGGTTCCTGTGAAAAAAACTGGCTCTGAAACTCCTGATTCAGCAATTAACACTCCTCTATCCCTAAAAATATTTTTATATAAATAACTTTCTATGGTACGGTTTTGGTTTAACACTTTAATTTAAAAAGACATGTTGAAATTCAGGACCAATAATGCAGGAAGGATCTAATACAGCAGCTGCACTGAAAATTGCTAAAATATGAAGATACGTCTGTTCCCATTTCTTCATTGGAGGTCTCTAACTGACCAAATCCAAACTTGCTAAGTTCATGAGTTCCAACAAAATCACAGCCATGTCAGGGTAGTGGTGTGTGTGCATGCGTTTTCATTGAAAGATTATGATAGAACAGAAGCAACAATCAAATTCTGGTCAGATGTAATATACATAACATCCTCAAAAGGCGGCGTAAGGCCATTAAGACCAGATGTTACCTTACAGAGAGAAACAAAAAATGCAGAACAGCAGCATTCTAAGACTATCACTTATTCTGATGCATAATCAGACTTGGCTTTAAATGCAACCAGTCCCCAACCACCTGCTTCAAAACAGTGAGCCACTTGTAGTAGGCTTTATCTCATGGCTTTGGGAAGAGTCTATAGCATCTTTTATTTTTTTTTAAATAATATCTATTACAAGTTAGGAACTTTTGCATAAGTGACAAACATGAAAGAACTTTGTCACTTAACAGTGTCAAAGTTATCTCAACAAACTGTTTATGTAAGGCCATGTTTGTTAGCTCTAAAAAAGGGGTTGTAGTTTCACCACATGTTAAAATCCAGTACCAAGTCTGAAATTCTTTCTGGATCTTTCTGGGACACAGGCAGACTTTGCAAAAGTGAGCAAGGAAAGATAGAGAAAAAGGTTCTACGGAAGCAACAGGGAGCCGAGGGACAAAAAAAAAAGGTTAATTAGGAACTCAAAATGGTGGAGCTAAGGTCTTTGGGACAAAGACTATCAATTACTATGTTTGTATAAGCCTGAAAGAGTGGTGTCCTGACCTACTTGAAGCTTCCAAGTGTTCCTACAATATAATTGTTACATATGGATAATCCCAAAGAATTTGGGCACAAAGCTCAAAAGAAATACAATCTTTTTTAATATCTTTCAGTTTATTAAGATGCCAAAAAGGTACAACCCTATATGTAATTTTTCATAATTGGCTGAGAAATGAATGCGGAAATGGAAAAGTGGTTCTGACATTGGTAGAAATCTGACTGGCACTTAACCCTCAGTGTTGGATACCAAATGTAATCTCCAGAACACCCCTCTGGTCCTATTCCACTACATTGATCTTTCACATCTGGCCTTGACTGAATTGCCAGTGTAGGATTTAGAAAGGGGAAATTCTTCTGAGGTAGTTATATAGCCCCTGTGTTATATCCAAGTATCTCACAAATGTTACTTATTCTAGCATTAAACCTCTGAGGTAAAGAACAATTATTATGACAACCACAAAACAAAAGATACAAATGGGGGAATAAAGACAGACTGAGAAAGAGACTTGTTCAATGCCACGTCAGAAATCCATGGCAGAATGAGGAATAAAATCTTTATTTCCCCACTCCAAATCCAATGCCTTAATCCCAAAATCATCTTTCCTCTACCTCAGAGACCCTACGCAGAAAGAGGAAAATAAACAGATAGGTACAGTTACAACTTGTGTGTCCAACTACTGATAGTCTTCTGGTTCTAGTGCTGCTGCTCAGATCTTACTTTCCCTTTTTGCAATTTCTGTGTTAGAAAGGAAGAAATTCTAATCCCACTCTACTCTAAAAGACTGCTTCTCTCCTGATCCTTGTCTTCAGCCTGAGTTTGAGGTACACCCATTGTATAGCTTCTGGTACTGCACCTGATGAAAAAGGCCTTTATTTGATAGACTGAGCACTCTCATTAACATGTTCTTATCAGGACACTTCCAAACATAATGTTCAATTTTTGCTAATTATCCATAACTGGCATAAAGTTGATGAGGACAAAAATGTGACACTTAATTTTCCAAGACAGGTTAATTTTTTTAACTGGTAAATTTAGTCTTCTCTCACATTAGCTAAATTATGCATTTATCTAAAAATGTTTCCCATTAGAAATTCTTTTTGGAACCCTCCTTTATGTAGAGGACCATAATGTAAAAATCAAGGTAAAAGGAAAAAAAAAATCATACAATGCAAATTAATTTAAATGAAACTTTCATATGTTTAGCTATTGACAAAAAAAAGTTGTTGAATGAAAAGCAGCCACACAGTAAATAATAAATATCCATAATTGCAAAACTAACAACAAATTGTCACCTTGCAAACCAATTTAAAGGGTTTATCTTAGTATAAAAATATTGTTAAAAAAAACTGTGCATTTTGTTAGGGACACTGATGTATTTTGAGCAGAAATGCAGAACCAATTTGCTTTTCTTTTTTTCTGGAGGAAGCATCTCCTCCTACTCATTTGTGTTAAAACTAGTTTATGGTAGAGTTTAGGAACTTTTTGAATGAAAGATTTGACTAAAGTTGTAATTGTATCTCCATTCCCCCAGCACAATGACTCACCCTGCTGAGCTGATCCAAGAGTCTTTGGTTCTGTTCAGATAATTCCTGGACGGCACGTGCTTTCTCTCGATCTGCTTCACGAAGGTGAACCTGCTGTCTCTCCAGCTCATCCTGTAGCTGTTTCACATCGCTTTCTAACTCTGACACCCTTCCTTCCCATTCTCCTTCTCTGTTTTCAAATCTTCGTCTTAATTCATGTTTCTCTTGCTCTAGATGCTGAAGGATGAAAGGAAAGAAAGAGATTATGAAAGAAGAAAAATCATAAAATGCTGTATATTATCTTCATCCCAGATATTCCTCATAGTGTGTGTCAGCCACTCCCTTTCATGAAGGAATCACTAGAGGGTATTACTTCTATGACTTGCAAAGTTTTATCAGTGGCCAGCTGCAGACATTCAAACCACTATCTGTTCCAGTAACAGAATTATCTTTATGCTCTGTAGATATATAAAGAAAGTAACATCTGATTTTTGTTTTAAGTAATAAGAAACAATAAAACAGAAACTAGTGAATGTCAATATGCAGAAAATATAGACAATTCAGACCAATTACTAATTTAGAGAAACATAATTCAACCTCCAAACAACCATTTGGGGTCAACATAATAGCATCATGTTTACCTTAATGGACTTTCATGTTCAAAAAGACTTTAAAAAAAAAAACAAGTTCTATAGACACTAATACATCTTGCTTATCAAGTGGTTCCCTTGAAGTACAGTTGCAAATGGATACATGATTTTTCTCTTCCAGTTTTGCTGCTTTGCATAGTTGTCTAACAGCATGCAGTAACATAATTGTTTTCCACTCCAAAGGGGGCTGTGTAGCAGCAGTTGGGTAAAATGATTCCTATACATAACATCCATATGCACATATTTAGAACCAGAAATTTATAAACAGCCTTCAGTTTAGCAGGTACAGTTTTGCCTACAAAACAAGTTGTTTGAAAAAACAGCCAGTTAAATGTCTAACTATTAGAAGTTACACATGCTGTACAGGCTTAGTTAATTGTAGGCATAATAATGGAGGATGGGCTAACTCAGAGCTGAAAATCAGATCAGAATGGTTTCATACCACGGCCTTGTGGAAGGGCATGACATGAAAGCTAAAGTTACCATAAAAAGTCCCTGTAACTTTATAGTAATATAGGCCAGGCTTGCTTGCCTATAAAAAGGTCACAGAATGTAGTCCCTTCCTGTTATTCCATGGGTCCCGTTGCCTGCTGGCAGTCTGGCTCCCTTAAAACTCATCTTGCCAATGCTGCCTATTCCTCAATCCGGTCTTCCTTTTAATAAAGTATGACAGCAAAGGAAACGATCCCACTGGGCCTAGTCCTATGGTAATCTCCACAGGAATTTTCTAAGGCATGTTCCCACATAGTGAGAAGTTCATTGCAGACCTAAAAGAATGGGGAGACTAAGCCTGTGGTGGTGGAAATCACTCAGCATTCATATAGAGTGGCTTCTTTGTTGTCAGAAGTGGGGGGGGAAGAGCTTCCCATGTTTCAGCTGGTCGCCTGCTGCTCTGAACATGTTGTTTCCCTTTGAATCCCTCTACCAGCTTTCTCTGGCAACAGGGCAAGAATGAGAAGTCTGAACTTCAGAGCTATGCACTGTTTTTAACATTTCTACATTTTTGCTCCATCTCCTACTTCCTCTTTCTTGTTCTTGACTTTGGATCTTCTTCCCTTCTGCTGTCTCTGCTTGAGATTCCCACTCCACCACAGTGTAATGGGCACCTAGTTTCTGGCCTTTCAAATGCTTCCTCAAAACATACTTGTTCTGCAAAGCTTGCAAATGCTAACTGAAGCCAATGAAAATGCTGTCCAGCTTTAGGAAATAGGATGCTCTAAGACAATCTTTGCCATATTGTAATTATTGAATAGAATAAGTATGGTTAAAAATGGGCCACCATTATAATTATTATATATATGGTAGTAATGCCTGGGGTTCTTTCCATGGATCAGGACCATGAGAAACACATAACAAAGAAAGATATCTCCTGCTCTAAAGGATGCTGTCTTAACTTTGGAAAAATCTCATGAGAAAAAGTGTTTCCAACTAGTTTGATAATGCTACAAACTGCTGCAGTCTACAGGGTGTATTCTAATTTTAGCATGTGAGGGAGTTATGCATGCATATACCCACATATAAAACTGAAAATATCCTCCATTATAACTCAGTGTCTCATTTGCTGCTCTATGCTATTCAGAAAGATCCGGGGGCTTGTGCAGAGAGAAGGCTAAACCTCAGCATGATGGGTATAAGTAGTGCAAATAGATAGCAATCAAAATCCTCAGGTGTATAAGGAGAATGAACATAATTCAGAAACAAATTGTAAAGCTATATATGGGACTAAAATTACTGTATTTAAAATATTACACTCATTTACTAAGGGAAAAAAGTCTACAATAAATGTAAGAAGTACCGAAAATGGATAGCTCAGTGATTCAGGGAATGTAGTAGTACAGAAAAGCTAGAGAAAATTAGGTCTAGGTTCTCTAATGAAAGAAACTATAAAAAGGTAATGTTTCAAATAGCTGTTGTACTCCACAAGAAGAATCAACTCAGATAAGCTGACTAGATTTGTGGGGGTTTTGTTTGTTTATTTTTAAACTAAACTATTTTTTTGGCTCAATAACAGACCTATACTGAAAAAAATCTCCATCTTTCCTTAACATGAAGTCCTGTATGTTTGATGAAGATCTCTATAGTTTTTCCATATTACTGAATGCTAACAGGAATTAAATGATAAACAGTTCTATTCTATTTTTTTTGTTGCTTTCTAGCTGCCCATTTATTTCAATAAAGAAATTAATTTTAGAAGACATTTTATTCTGAAAATGTGTTTTTTCATTCAGTTAACTGAATTAGGTCTGTCCTGACTTAAGAGATGGGAGCAAGTGGGAGTTGCCTTATTAAAAATGAGAGGATACATTGCAAATTTTGGGAAAAGGACACACTACTTTCAGTGTCAGAAGGGATCAGAGGCATTAACTGTTTGAATCCCTTGGAGAAGAAAAAATGACTGACTCAGAAGATGTACCAGAATTAAAAAAAGATCCAGATTCCATATTTAGAAATTAATTTGAATTCAGACTAGGCACTAATCTGTCAAAGGAGGCACATGTAGTGAACAACATAGCACCTCAGTAACAGACAATCAAAATAGATATAACATTTCTGGACATGAACAGGTAATAGTCCAAAGGGGATGGGCCAGAGGGTTTACTAATCTGTAAAGAATAAAAATAATTTTAAAAAGAGACTGTAAATTTATTATGGTAATGATAACAAAATGATAAAACTGTAAAAGCACAATTATCAGGAAAACACAAAAAAGGCTAATCAGTGCACTGGCAGAGGAAATGGACAGTTAACTTCACTGAACTGTCAACCTCAACTCTGAACAATTAACTTACAGAATATGTCTCTTAGTACATGATGTTTAACAGCAGTAAATCTGGGTGAAACTGCAACTAGAGATTTTAAATTGGGTCCCATTTATTGCCAACATCAAAAAGCAGCAATCAAAAATTTTACAGGGACAATATAAGATAAAGATTAGGAAATGAATCAAATGAGGAACATGTTTCTTCTTCCTCACATTGCCCACTCCAGCCCCACAGGCCTGTTCCTTTTCTCACTAGCCAATAGAAATTTTGCAATATGGTAAATTTTTAGCTTGAAAAATCTAGAATTATAGAATCCAATTTTTAGTTGTATTTTATTTTTTTTGAAGTTTTACATACATGAAGAGGCATAGTTTCAGAGATTTGTTTTCTGAGCAAGAAAACAGAAAACAAATTATAGTTTTGAGTGGGTGCGTCTACATGTTCATTCATACGCAGTAGTTACTGCACAGTTAGTTTAGTACTTGTTTAATGAAGTACTAACTCAATGCCCAGTAATTCACACTACCGTGCAGTATGGCCAGTGCACGTTTTTTTTGTGATGCTTACTGTGCAGTAGCCTAATAACATTGTGCAGTAGCATATTAACACAGGTTTTAACCAGCACACTACTGCGCAGTGTTGTTAGGCTACTGCACAGAAAGAGTCTTGTGTAGATATGTCCAAGAGGTAATAAAAGTAACACTAATTCTGTACCATATTTATTATGTACACTTATTTATCATTTATCAATATCTATAATATCCCTTGAGACAAAGAAGATAGCTTCCAATGAACCCATGAAAGCTTAGACATGCAACTAGGAAAAGTTGATAACCATTAAAAAGTTAATCATAAATTAATGTTTTAGTTTCACCAATACATTTTGCAACCAACCAATACTAAATGGAGTTTTATATTTTGGAATGTCAGAAAAATAAAGATGGAGCCCAGCCTCAGCAACTGTCCACGGGTCCATGGGGAGCTTTATCTTTTTAAAGCTATATAATCTAACCAGGAAAAGCATGTTAAAACGAAAGCTAACCTAACTATTGCACTCCTACTGCATTGACTAAGTGAGTGTATTTGAGGAAAGTTTATACTATTAAATAGTATAATTAAGCAAAAATGTGAAAAATCTCTCTCTCTAGGTACCATATCCAAACAGGACGTTGGTGACCATGGTCTTCCACGGATCTCTTCTCTTTGAAACATACAGAATTTCCAGTTTTGACACATTCATCCATTTAGATAGACTCTTGACATAAGTCAACCTCTGTCTTCCACAATCTCTCCTTCCTTCAATCTTTCCAGTTACGACCAAACTCTCAATTTCCTCTTTCCTCATAATGTGTCCAGGAAACTCCAACTGTCTCTTTCTGATGTTTATCAGCTTCCTTCTGCAGTCTGCTCCTAACAAAATACCTTTATTTGAAGTGTGACTTGTCCAACATACTTTCAAGATGGGCCTTAAGAACCACATTTCACTTGCTTCAATGCTCTGTTCCATACTTAGTGATATTGCCCAGCATTTTGATGCATACATGAGGAGTAGTATAACATAGGAATCCAAAACTCTTAACTTAGTCTCCACAGAAAATTTTACCATTTGTCAATATTTTTCATTTTCAAAAATGTGTCTTATGCCATCCCTATTCTGTTTTATTTCACCATCACATTTACCATCTGATGTTATCCAGCTTCCGAAGCAGTCAAATTTACTGACCTGCCTTATCTGTTCCTTTTCCACTGTGATGTTGCATACAGGAATGATCTTTTTTGTAATTACTATGCATTCTGGTTTTCTACAGTTGATAGTTAAACCCTTCTACTCACTTTCACTAACAATTTTATCTAAAATTCCTTGCAGCTTTACTTCTGAATCAGCTATTAAGACTGTGTCATCAGCATAACACAGGTTGTTCAAATTCTGTCTGCCCTGGTAAATCCTCAGTCTCCCTCAGTATTATCTTACTATACAAGTTGAACAAGTCAGGTGAAAAAATACAACCTTGCCTCACACCTCTCTTAATTTGGATGAAATCACTTAGTTCATTTTCTGTCTTCACTGCTGCAGTTTGGTCCCAACAGAGATTTCTTAAAATTCTCAAGTCTTTACCATCAATACCCGGTTCTTTCAGCATTGTCATTAACTCCTCATGCTTGACTCTGTAAAAAGCTTTGGTATAATCAATAAAACACAAGAAAAGGTCTTCCCTTATTTCTATTGCCCTCTCCAAAAGCATCTGTACCATGAAGATAGCATTTCTTGTACCTCGATTTTCAACAAAACCACCTTAAACTTTTGCAATCTCCAGTCTTATTTTACTTCCAATTCTCAACATCAGGACCTTTAATAGGATCTTAAGGTGCTGCTGTTGAGTGCTTACCCTCACTAATGTTACCATCAGAGCAGTAAATTCTGAGGGAGATTACTGCAGTGAGAAAGTGATTAGCTGCAATAAAGTTTTGGATTTAATAATAAACATGATAAACTTCTACATTTGGGATGAACAAATACACAGAACAAAGGACCCTGCTACTTAGAGTAGAATAATTTCATAAATCCCCATGAATTTGCAAAGATAGGAGACTCCACAAGAAACACAGAAATATACATAGCTGTATACAGAGGGTTAGTGTACGGCAACAGCTTCAAATTAGAATGTTAATCCAGCACTGTTCAAGCTTGCTCCAAAAGTGTGCTTCTTGAGTTTGGTCTTTTCAACTAAACCACTTGCTGGTAGAATTAGAAACTTCTGGTATAAATTTGAGCAAAGAATGGGTGTAATAGTAATTTTTATATCGTTGTATAATGAAAATGCTCCACACTGCCTGCACAAGCCCTTTTATTTATAACCACTCCATTTCAATCTTAACATCAGTAGAGTGCTCAATCCACAGGGTTCCTAGCAAAAAACGCTTTCCAGCTATTCATAGGTATTGGTAAGGCAAGGAGTTGACACATGTGTATCATAAGGGTTCATCTGTTGGCACACATTATACATAGGAGCCAATTGTTCAGCACAAAGTTTATGCCCTACAGCTCAGTATCTCTTCATGTAAATTTAATTTCTGAAGTGTTCCTGAAACAAGACCTAGATACTCCCCCTTTTGTATTCTCACAATTAAAGCGTACCTAGTGTTTTTCCTCCTCAGGCAGGAGCAGGACCCACTTCACAAATGTTTCAGCAAATTCCGCTGCATTTTGGATTAGTACAAATATATTAAAAGTTCTTGGAGCCAGAAAAAAAATTGAAAGAAGAGAGATTTTCTTTGAGAGCATTCCTAAATTCCTAACAATTCTTTTTTCCCCCTCCCATCACCATGGAAAATTTTCAGCAGATGCCTTCCTGAGGGCCTTTCCACATCTCTCTTAGGTTCCCCTTAAAATAACCATGTGCCTATCCTCCAATGAACAAAAAGGGAAGGTGCCTATGAAGAACTATTGTTTTCTAGAACAAGCACCACACATGGGAAATGTTTAAAAGACAGAGGGCTGATAAAATTAGTAACTGAAATGTCATATGTTATCGTAGGATACAGTTTTCTCATTTTGTTATATATAGGATACACAAAACTATTGTTAAACATGGTGAAATTAAATGTCTGGATTTTCATTTTTATTAACAATAGTTCCATGTTAGGTGCTCATAAGTCTGTGGATAAAAGCTTTATCTATTATCTCTTGACATTCAAAGTATTTCATGGCTTTCTCTTATCCTACGTAGCCTTAAAACAAGAGGTCAAGGCGAGAATATCTAAAGGTTTTAGTATAGAAATTTCAGTTTGGGGAGAATTACATCTTGTAGCACATTAACTTTTAATACCTATAATGATGAGGTTATATGTATTACATATATTTGAGGGGAGAAAATGTTCTGGCAGCAGAACAAACATCTAAACAGAGGAGTGAGAAGGAAAGCAAAGCTGGCCTGAAATTACCTTGGGGGGGGGGGGGGTAGTAGAAAAAAATTAAGATATTGTATCACAATTAACTGATTTTTATCCAGCTTCTTTCCAAGGTACAGCTGAAACACAGAACTTGCTTTGAAGAAAGCCTTTCCTCCATGCTTTTGAAAGCTCAGTTCTCTTTTCTTTCCTCCTCCCAACACTGGATACATTAGTGCTCAGGCTTCAGGTACTTTCCACTCCAAATGCCAACACATCTCTTTCCTTTGGGCAGCCAGGTCACTCTCCAGCTTGGGTCTCAAGTCATCCTTACCTCTGGAAACCAAGTTTCTCAGCCTTCTTTAATGACCCACAACAAGGCCAAGCTTTCAGACCCAGCTGTCAAATCCACAACCCTCGAGTATCTCTGGAGCCCTGCTCTTTCCACTCCACCCTTCTGGCATGCATCTCCAAGGCCACCTCTTCCTCCCACCCTGCCCTGAAGTCCACCCCATTGGTTTTCCCACCGGATTGCACAAACTACCCCAGAAACCCAGGTGGTTGCCGCTTACGTCCCACGGACCGTTGGAGGCCCAGGGCCTGTCTATACCACCACAGGCCCCGGGAACTAAGGCAGGTGTTTCCCAGCCGCGCTGCCGCCCTCACCTCCAGCTTGTCGGTGAGCTCCTTGTGCATCCTCTCGTACTGCCGGCTCATGTCCTGGTTCCTCTCCAGCAGAGCCTTCCCCAGCCTGGCCGCCAGCAGCAAGTCCTTCTCCTTCTGCCTGATCAGCGAGAGCAGCTCGGGCTCCTGCCCGG